AATTAGGACGCTCCTGCGCCAATCTCTCTTCCAATCTCGCCGATCACGAGGATCAGTATCGTCTATTCGATACTTGAGACAGCTATTAAGCGATGCGGATACTCGAAGAAGCGAGGTACCTCGCGCGGTTTATTATCAACGAAGGCGCGTGAGTGGCGTTTTAAGTTGCCGAGGGTTCCGACCTCCTCGAGGAAGCGCGATGATGGCGAGCACGGGGGCCGATCGGGAACAGTCGCGAGGACTATTCGCGCGACAAGCTATCCGCGCATAGTCGAGTCGACGTCTCTGTTTTTCTGTCGGTGACTCGCGACGCCAATTTGCGCCTTCGCGATAGAGAGAGACAGAGAGAGGGAGAGAGAGCGAGCGAGCGAGCGAGTCGTTACGCGGCATTGTTCGCGCATTGTTGCGGAGGCATGCGCCGACATTCTTCCCAGTGGCGTGTCCATTGTTGCCGAGCGTCTGGGCGAGCTCGTAAGGCGGAAGGTAGACGAAGTCGAAGGCTTTTGTGAGGCGGAAGGGTGTACACCCTGCGGAGGCGCCCCGCCGGTCCGCTTCTATCCTGCCGTTCTCTCCTGTCCGTCAACCGACATCAATTAGTAGCGCGAAGCGTCGGCGACTGTGTACACTCTCCTGCGAAAGAGAGACAGAACGGACGTGCTCGTCGACGGAAACACGCATTAACCCCTTTCACGCACGCGTGAAATTCGCATCCTCACCCGCTACCGACGGGATAGTCGATCTTTCTTGACAAGGAAGTGTCCCCTGGATACATGTCCGTATCTCGGCAGTCTCGAGCGCGGAGTTGCTTCGCGAACAAATCTGAAATTAAAATTCCATCCAAGAGTCGGCGTGGAATTAATCTGCCCGGAGGTCGGGCAGAAGAAAATCCGCCGCAGATCAACCGTGGCGGGAGATATCCCGCCATCTGCTCGCGACCCCGCGAGGCTCAATTAACCAGAACATCTTTGTTTGTCCAACTCACGGTATAATAACATCACGAGCACGCTCTGAATCGCTATCATCAATGTAACAGCTCGCCAGGCTATTAATTGAAGATACAGCGCGCCAAACACTTTCGCGTGCTGCTCCCGGGCGCTCTCCAATATGTATGCGTACCAACATGCGCGCGCGCACACACAAACACACATACACACGCGGGGAATCGCATCAACGCCAACTCTACGTTGCGTAAAGTAAATGTCCCAGTGTAATTGAACAATGTTCTGATGATTGGAATATTAATAATATATTTGTATTGGATATTTCCAAAGAAGCCTTTGAAATTTCACTGAAAGATATTCCCGCGTGCCAATTTGCAATATTATTTAATCAACATTCAGTCATTGAGTCTATTATTCGGTAATTAGGGCATGATACATTTTTCAGTTCAATTACAAGTGCATAGCCAGCGTTATCCGATATATATCGCCATAAAATTATAATTGATATTTATTGATTATTCTATCTTCTAGGCCATTTCCGCTCGCTAACAGAAGTTCTATGTGAACGCTAATTTCGTCCACCATTCGATTAATCGTTTAATTAATTGTTTCACGTAAAAACGTAAAATTGCTCGCGGCTTCTTATTAATTCAGTTATTTACCTTGTACAATAGATTGTAAAATGGTTTAAATACAATGAACCTCAGAGCGTAGCCGATGATCCAATGAGAGAATCTACTTTTGACTAATTCATTTTCTTATTGGACTATTGGCTGCACTCCGAAATTCATTGTATCTGCACGGAGAAAAATAATTTTGCTCTTTTAGCAAAATCGTCGTTGCTACTGCATATTCGTAGTAACATAAAAAAATTTAGTTGACGTAACTAATTTTACAAATTATTCGTTATCAGAGCAGAAGTAGTTTTATTGCCAGGATAGAAAAAAGTTGTTGAGTGTATTTGTCCTAAGAATCACGTTAATTTGCTATTAGTGCAAAATAATATATCCTTAGCAAATGTATTTGTTATCGGAGCAAAACTGCAACTGCTTATATAAATCCATCATGGTTCTTATAGCAAAATAATTTGCAGATTCGGCAAATTATATCCAGCAAATAATAATTAGTACTTAGCAAATCTTTTTACTGTCCATATAATAACGAAAAGATTTTGCTAGCAAAATTTGCAGAAAATTTGCTGGGCCAGCAAATTATTTTTTTTCGTGTGTGATGCCCGTTTCTACCAAATTTGGTTAACTCGATTGGCTGATTATTCCAATCGACCAATCGCATTTCACGTTAGTCAGAACTGACAGATGCGATTGGTCAATTCCGTTGACATAACCAGCCGGCTAAGTTAACCAAAGTTAGTGGAAATCGTTTTGCAACCTACACACACAAACACATCCACACATACAACGGGCTGCTTCATTTCGCTAAGATGTCTTCGCCCACTCACTCATGCACGCAACACTTGGCGATGTGTAACGCCGCGACACGTCCACCCCCGCTGCGTGAGCGTACACACGCGTAAACACAGCAGAACCTGACGGCGCTTCCGTTGATTCCATCACCCTTTCTCGCGGCCCCCTCCTTGGGGCGTCATTATCATCCATTTGCTAATACAACAAGATAAATTGCCCGACCCCCGTCGCAACGTCACCTGACAAGTTTTCTCCGTGAACCCGCACCTCTTCTTCCTCCTCCTCCACCTTGTCGTTGTTTCCACCCCGTTCCTTCGTCATCCACGTTCTACCCGTTCGCCCGGATCTCCTCCGAGAACGTCGCCGACGCCCTTGTGCCCGGAAGGGCTGTATCGAGTTTCGTCCACGTCGCGGCTTGGGGGCGGGAGAGAAGGGGGCGAGCAGGCTGCTCGGATAAAATGTGTCGCCGGCTGGAATCCGACCCGACGTTGGATTCGCTCCTTAACGCGGCAAATGGAATTCCCCCCCTCGCGACATCGCGCGAGAATGCCCGATGGATAGTTTAGGGGATGGAGAAGAACAGAAAGAAGGAACGGAACGAGAAGGATACGGGAAACGTGCGCGCGCGTAATGGAGCTCGCTATTCCGGTCGCGTGAAATAATTATCTCGTTCCGCGTTGCCGACGTGTTTTGCGGGACGCGTTAATTAATTGTAGATTATCGATTCGCCGACGGGCGGTCCCTGTGGGCCACGTGGCAGCAACGCGGACACGTAGAAAGAATATTGGAATTAATCAAGATTAGCGTTAATGAACGCCGATGCGACACGCTCTCGCTTATCCAGCGGAGCAAAGACGGCGTATCGATCTGTGATATCGGTAGGTACAGCTAAAACGCGACGCAATGCGTGCTAATTAAAAATTCCCGCTAGCCTGTGCGAGACCCACTTTATTTCGCGCGTATACATCGCAGGTGAGCTTTCCGGCTGAATAGCTGATACCGCGGCACTCGATACCGGTGTACGCGAGCGCCTTATCGATCTCATGTTAGAACAGCACGCGCGGCAGAGCTCGCGTGGAAAGAAAGAAAGAGAGAGAGAGAAAAAAGGGAGCCAATCATCACGATCGCGTGTTCGGAGCGATAAAACGCTATCGATCCGTACACGGTATTTACGTAAACACGTGTCGCGTCCGTCCGCGGGATTTCTCGTCGTCGCCTATTTTTCGTCTCTCCTTTATCCGCGCGAATTTCTCCTCTCACTTAGTAAAGTGAATCGACAAAAGGACTAACTGCTTCACCGATTACTGTGGATATCCGCTGATTTTCGGCGGTAATACTCCCACTTCACTGCCCCGTCTATTCCCGCACTACTAAAATTGCACTGCAATTTTTTGCAATTGCATTGCACTACAATATTCTCTCCATGTACATGGACTCGGGAGCATTTCTCTAGAGTAAAAAGAAAAATATTCCAACGTTCAAAAAAGAATTTTAGATGCAAAGTGCCATTTCTTGTAGCCCTTATTTTAAACGAAAATTCTTACTGAAATAATATTCCTTTTCTATTGAAGTGAACTATTAACTAGATTCGAAAATTCACTAGATATTCAATTCTCTAACATTTTTTTCTTTTTGAATCAAGAAAAATATGTTTGCTTGAAACAGACTCGCCTCTTAAGAAATTTCTATCAAGAAAAAATTTCTCTAACTTAAAAACATTGTACTCAAAATATTTTCCTTTTGACTCCAGAAAAATCCTTTCGACTGTCCTCTAACAAATAAACCTATCCAAAAGTTACACTCCAATTTCTTTCTAATTTCCGTGAAACTCAAAGTGGGCCAAAATGAAAAAATATGACCTAAATATTTTTTCTACATTTGTACTAAATTAGAAAGAAATTTTGGATAGGTTTACTTGTAATTATTTAAGAATAATTAAGATCGTATATGTTTGCGTTATAATTGAATCTACTAATTATACACTGAGAGAAATTATTCGATAAGAAATTAACAAACGGATATTTCCGATCAAAATACCGAAGAATTTTTGTATCCGATCAGCAAACATTCGATGAGAAATATCGGTTCGTAATTTTTTGATCGGTTTATCTGACTAAATGCCATTATGATCGGAAGTATTCGATTAAATTTAATTCAATTAAATTTAATCGGATATAAATTCGGTATTTTAATCGAAAATATTCGTTTGTTAATTTTTTATCGAATAATTTCTCTCACTATATTATTTCGACGAAAAATATACTGATTGCATTTTAGAGAATATTATCTCCATATCGTTCGCGCGTACCAAATTGATCTTACTTTGCGATAATTTATCGCGGTTTTCTCGCTTTTCCTCTTACAAATAGAATCTCGTTCGCGAATTCCGTCGCGAGTTATAAAGATCGAACTGTGAGCCTTATCTACAGCTTGAAACGCCGGCTTGGACCGCTTATCTATCCACGACCCGTACATCTCCGCGCGAGAGACGTGCGGATTTCGAAATCTTCTCACTATCCGACACACTCGAACACGTCGACATTTTTATTACGGCGATCCCGCTCTCCTACCCACCGCCGATCTTTACGATTCTCGCGGAAGTGCTTAACGTCGTTGTTTCTCTTTCTGCTTCCAGGTGAGTGTCCAGGAATTCCAGTACGCTCGCGGGACGGGCGCGTCCCTGACGATGGTAAGCCATAAAGCAATGTATACCGTCGTTTTATCCGCGTATTACCGCCCCTCTCCCTTCCCCGCCGCCTCCGTCGAAAGGCTCCTGCCCGGGACGATGTATCTCGTGAAGGATATGGGAAGAGGTCCTAATATCTCGCAGGCACACATCCGTCTTAATTAACGTCGCGATACATCTCGACTTCCGCTGCTAGGCTGCCGGTGCAGCAGCATTCGGTTTAATATGCGCGAGCTTTACTCCTATAATCTTGCCGCTCGGCAAAAATTACGAGGGAGTTTAGCTCGTTTCCTCCCGCGTTAATCTCGTATTATTTCTCGTTGGAAATCTTTCACGGTTGCAACGTTGGAGATCGCGTAGAAGGGAGGAGGAGGAGGAGAAGGAGGAGGATAGCATGAGGGATGTTTCATTGGATCTTATTTCGATCTAACGATGCGAATCGTCAGTTATATGTATCGAATTCCCGTCGATACTTGACGGAACCAGGAAAAACAGCTGCTCTCCTCTCTTCCCCATTATTTCCGCAATTTTCCGCTTACCGCGCTAATTATTGCAATACGTCGCTAAATATGCGCGTCATTTTGTAAAATCGTGGAGTGGCGCGTGCGAGGGCGCTCCGCCTATGCGCGATATAAATTTGCTAATTTCGCAAATTTGACGGGGGGATCCGGCCGGCTCTTTGGCGCATTAAACATAAATGGCAATTCTGGCCGGACGTATAATCACACGCGAATCAATCATTTTAACACAATAACAAATATTGGCATCGATGTTTCGCGCATTGAAAACAACAACAGCGGCTAGTCGCGGGGCCGGCGATATTTTCCATCGCTCGTGCGGAGCGCGTGGGACATATTAAATTGATCTAACCCGTCAATACAAAGCCGTCACCGCGCTCTCATTCATCCGCCGATGTCGTCGTTGTTAAACTGGCGCCCACTCGGCCGGCTCGCGAATCACTGGCGCGCCCAGGTACCTTGCAATTCTCTGCAAAACGCGGAGGGTCCCGCGACGTTGATCAAACACGCACGGCGGCTTAATTAATGGAGCTCCCGCCGCAGCTGCATCTGGCTTGAATCCGTTTCGTCCCGGGACCGTAGAGCGGCCACGGGACGAACGAGGATAGAAGTGACCCCGGAAAAATCTCGTTAAGGTCCTGCCGCCCCCTCTATGCATTTTCAAGCGCGGCGAACGAGAATCTAGCGTCTCGTTGCATCGGCCTCGAAACGATCCCGTGCTCGCGAGCTCCTCCCGACGCTCGTTAATATCCCACGAAGCGGTTTAGGTCGCGCGGAGGATCGCGCGACGCAGCCGCCGCCGGCTAACGAGGCGAGTTTCGGGGACGATAACGAGGCCGAAGGAGAAACGGCATGATGACGCGCCACGTTCCCGCTAAGGGAAAGAATCGCTTCGATCGCCCTTACAGGCGTAAAATAAGAGGCGTCTCGCGGCCCCGACAGTGACGAATGTGTTTGTACATCGTCAGGCTGGTCGACAGGGATGTCACACACGGGGACGTGTGATGTGCGGAAAAGTGTCGTATAAGGGGTTGAAATGTCGCTCCGAACAACACGGCTCACGATACGCGTCAAACAAGGTGCAACCGGAAGAATTCACGTCGCGGACCCACTCGGGTGGCCTTCACCTCACTAGAAACTTGTCCCTGATCAGCGCGGAAAGAAAAATGTTTGGGATAAACGGAATTTCTGGCGAAATACGGACGAGTCGGAAAATTCCAGTTCAAGTTGCCAGAATTCTGTTCAAGTTAACCGGAAATTATGTCAGCTGGTAACTTCAACCGGAATTTTCTGCTTCGTTCATATTTCACCAGGAATTTCAGGTCGACCCGACCAAACGTTTTTCTCTGTGAGATTGACCTCAATCGGTTATCAGCTTTGCACAAGATGATTTTGTCTGATCCTAATAGGTCATGAATTAATTATATTAATATAATATTAATAATATCATTATTTATATTAATTATGTAGATATTAATAACAAGAATTAATAATTAAAGCCAGTTAATAATAATGATTATTTATCAGGACCTTATTAATAATAATGAGGACTCGATAGTATTATCTTTTACAAACCACGTAATGGATTGAGATCAACCACGGACAGGATCATGGGATAAATATCCAGTTGTTAAGGGGATGCTGGAGGAGGATATCCACGCACGATATGCAGCTTTCGTCTTGTTTTTCTATTTGGTTGCATAGAATTGCAAATGTTTATGCTAAATGGAAATGCAAATGTCAACGTATGGCCCATGCTATGTCAAAAGAAGAAAAAAATTGTAAATAAAAAATCCTTTTTGATCTTTTGTGTAACATGGTACTTCGCCATTCATTGACACTTTCACTCCGTGCAAACATCTGTATAATATACATACAACCGAATAAAAAAACAATTCGAAACACAAAGCTGCGCGATATATCCAGCTTATGGATAGCACTTATGGATTGAGTTTTGTATGTACAAGAAATACGAAAAGGTTAGCTTGATTGTATTGGTGACGATCGTATCTGCGTCATCGATATTTTTCGAGTTCGCCATCGACTCCAGCATCCCCTTAACCCTTTCGAGCACAGTGATTTCATCGTGAAATCACTTATTAGAACCAGAAATAGCTTCGAATATAATGATCTCACAACGAAACTTAGTTTGCGCACAGTGGTGCACTCTACCAGTTGTAACAATAGGAAATATATATAAAAAATAATTGAAAATAAAATAGAAAAATAGAAGAAATTTGTTTCGAAACGTATAGTCTCTTGGATTGTCATTCTAGACATGTGACGTGAATATTTTATTAGAATTCGAATTTTGAAGAGTCCTGTGCTTCAAGGGCTTAAGGTGTTGCACAGAGCGGGGGAAAACAATCGAAGCCACGCGCCGTCAGAAATGTAATCCCGCACTCCCCGTTCGATCTGTTTGCCTTCGAACTCGCGCGAACGTCGGATGAAGGATCGTGGCAATATTTGCGCGTTGCGAAGTTCTCGCTCCGCGGCGACGAGCGCGAAAATACTACCGCCAACGGGAAAAAGTGAAAAAGAGAGGCAGGGGGAACGGGCGGGTAAGAGGGGGACGGAACGGAGCGCGGCTCGGTGACGGGGGAAAGAGGATATTTCGCGCGGTACTTTCTATCGCGAAAAATAAACGAGCGTGCTCGCTCGCTTTTATTTCGCCGAGCGTTGCGACGGAATTTGTTATTAACCGCATATCGATTACGGTGTTTCGATGCTGACGCGCGTATGCGCGATCGTAAAAGGTTTGATCGTCACGCGCGCTCGTGTTTTACGCGAGCGAAATCAACTTTCTCGACGTGTGCCGATCGGATAGCCCCGATTTATAAAAAAGGTCGGGCCAATCGAGTTCACAGAGACACATACACGCGCGCGCGCGCGCGGACGGAGAAGAGCGCGCGGGATGATGAACCGGGAAACGCATCGCCCGCGACAAACGTGATCCTTCCGCGGCATCGTATCCGCAGCTACGGGCTAATAAAAGCCTCCGAGAGAGATCCATCTCTCCCGTTCCAGATGGCTTCGCAACGTATCATTGCGCGCACGGTACATTTAGCCCGCGCGTTCCCTTAACGATCGCGATTGTTTGAAAATGCAATGCACGCGCGACTTACGAGCGGCGCGAGGGCTCATAGGCGGCCGGGAAAACGGTAACGGGCTACGCATCGCGCGGCTTATCTTTATTCCGCGCGTAAAGCCGCACGCGAGAGTGCGGCTCTTATCAACGAACGAGCCTCCAGGTATCGTTAGAGCGCAACATGTTCCCCGACATGCTGCCGGCATTATACAAGCTGACTATTAGCATTTACTTCGCTGTTACGCGGCCGACCGGCGGCCCTCTTTCCCGTCTCATTACCAGAAATTTCGAGTTTCACTTCCGGCATTGCGGGCCGGTGACACGCACGTGCATGCCGATACGCGTCGTGGTTACGGGAAAATTGGAATCCGCGTGGTGAGCCCTCCGTTCAAGCCCTTACGCGAAAAACGTGGGAAAAGTCTCGTAAGATATTCAATCCCTCCCCTCCCTTTTGAAATTTCCAATTGAACCACACTGAAAAAAATCATTCGATAACAAATAAACTGATATTTCTGATCTAAATAAACTTTTGTATCCGATCAGGAAACGTCTGATGAGAAAGATTGGTTTATCTGATAAAGTATCATTATGATAGGAAGAAAGTATCTGATTAAATTTAATTGGATATCCTGATCGGATATAAAATTATCGGTATTTTATCAGACATATCCGTTTGTTAATTTTTATAAAATAATTTCTATCAGTCCATTCTATTCTTTTTTCAACTCACAGCAAGTGCAAATTGGATATATCTTGCATTCTATTTCCGAAGATTCTTCAAAAAAAAACAGCAATAAAAGCAGAGGAAAGGAATGTAGGTTGCTTAAAAAATCTAATATGTTTTGAAAAAGAGAGAACAATCCTCCCTTCCGGTGAGAATCGCGCAGACATTTTAAATTGAAGAGATTAACGTGTCCGACGCGTCGTTTATTTAATTTTTATTATCAGAAAGAAGAATGCCCGCACGCGCGTACATACATTCACGTGTAAATGTCGAGGTAGGTTAAATATCACGTTCTAGAGAATAACGATCTACTTCCGACGGCGCGTCCGACCGGCAACGTCATTATCCACTTCGCTTTTCCACACACGCGTGGCCGCGCGTCTCCCTTAGTCGCAGCTTCCACGTCCCCATGAGATTAATTCTAGACGAAGACGGTGATCTTAGTGTGTCGCGTTACTAACGAAGGGGAGGGTTACTAACGTGTGAAATCCGGCGTGTCGGCGCGAATTATTCTCTAATACGGGTTATTAACAATGTTTGTTCAAACGCGCGCGAGAGCTCTCCCCCGGGAGGCCGGGACAATGCGAATTAATGTTTCCGGTTGACAGCGACGCTCACAATAAACGCGTCGAAATATTTGCGCGCGCCCGAAATTCATATCTAGTGCCGCCAC